ACAGGCACAGGTATTCCTGGTGAGATTCCAATTGGAGACAAGAGGAAACTTTTTCACAGTGACAACAATCAGCCACGGGAATAATCTCCCCAGGGAAGTGGTGGATTCCCCAACACCAGACACTTTTAAGATTTGACTGGAAAAGGTGCTGGGGCATTTACTTCAGGTCATGCTTTGCTTAGACAGGTTTGACCAGATGATGTTTGAGGTCCCTGTTCCAATCTGATATTGTATGATTAAGCTTTTCATCTCTCTTATGTATTGCTTTTGCCAGCACATTGGCATTGGGCAAACACAATTTCTCCCCAAGCCCCAAGTCTGCCCTCCTCATAATAAGCCATAGCCACGCAGGCAAGACTCTTAGCCACAGACTGTGCTTAATGAACCAACAGAGCATAGTGTGTGTGGAGGGAGGGACTGGAAGCCTGCAGTTGCACTATTCAAGCAAGCAGAATAGCAACAACTCCAGTGAAAACACAGGCAAAACACTGGGGCTTCTGGTTGATGTGAAGTGCCACAAGATCTCCGATTTACCAGCACGGAAGTCACTTTGTCTTGTTACTTAAAAATAAGAACAGCAGCCTCAGCAGCATAGCATCGCTTACTGCCACTTCTGAATTGCTGTCTGACTACTGAACCTCCAAGACAATCTGCTGCTGCATCTTCCACTTATTGGGAGCCACTTGCTGTACCTCCCTTCCTTCTCTCAAACTCATCTGAAATACATATATATATTTCAAAAAAAAAGTTCACGCCTGACATGGTGATAATTTTAAAAGCTATGCTGCTCATGTCAAATTATTCAACATCTGTCTTCATGTTCCCACAAAAATTAGCATAGGATGGTGGTTTCTGATGACACCTATAGTGAAATATTTTGACTTCTACCAACAAGTTGCAAACAACCTGTCAAGAGGATAATGTCAGTTTTCTAGAACTGCATATTAAAGCCAATTGAGGGCTTATCTGGTGTGAGAAGCTACTGACCTGACCTAAAAACAGAGGCTTGAGTGCCATGGTAGGGTGAATCTGATACACTACAGCTGAAGAACAGCAAAGCATCCTGAAGCACAGGACTGCACAGATTTAATGCCTTGACCTTAAAGAGCTGCTGAAGGGCTACTCAAATCTTGAACTGACCCAATCTTTTGGTGAGACTTTCTCTAGCCCTCCAGTTACAAAACTCATTCCTGTAACCAAAAGGCTACTGCTTAAGCTACCACAGATTTAAGGGCTGGACAACAAGAGGAAATGGCTGCACACAAAGGATATACACACACACACACACACACACACACACACATATATATATATATACACACACGCATGTATATATATATAGTTTGGAAGACCACTGTGCTTATGCATCACATTTTTCAAACGGAATGAGCCAAGAAGTGGCTCACAGGAACCAGCTCCACCACGAGCAATCTGCTCACCCATTTCTGAAGGCACAGGTGGTACACTGGGATAACACAAGAGAGCTGAAGAGCTCCATGTCTGGACTCCTGTTCCAACTGGCAAAACAGCTAGAGACAACAGCGGGGGGAGGGACTGATCCAGGTCACCAGCTCAAGGTTAACATCAGAGTGTGTCTGTGCCCCCAGAAACTGATAGCAAGACAGGCACACACACAGGTTGCAAGAGGAGAGTGCGAGGCATCCTGCATTGAAAACTCCAGGAAAAGAGGTTTACTTTACAGGTAAAAGGAGCAGGAAACAAATCGTGTCACATGTACACGAAGTGAAAAAGTGCAGATGTTTACGGCCTAAAGCCGGGTTATGTTTTACCATGACACTCCTCCATCTCAGACGCAAGAAATATTCTTTCACTAGATCTTTTGGCTGCCTGTAATGGCACTTCAGGGGTGATTCAGTGTGATGGTGTCTCTTTAAAGAGAGAGCTTTACTAGGTCATTTATTCCCCACCTCAGAGGCTAGGGCAAGATTACTCTGTATTGTGAGAGCTTCGCCCCCACCAGTTCCCAGCGCCTGAAGCAATGCAGCCCATCCAACCCTTCTGATCACCGTGCCAGACAGCTTTCCCTGCTGCCCCGCCTAAACCTCCTTTATTCCATCACCTTGCTGTAGCCCTTCATCAACATTGTGAAGACCGTTCCCAAAATGCCTCTTTCACAAGTGAATCATGAGAGGCACAGACAAAACATCCCAGGCTTATTTAGCGTGAAAGGCCACTGCTGAGCAGCTGGACTGTGCTAGCTGCAAGACAACCCAGAAATGTTAATTATAATCTGCACATAGAGTAAGCAAAGCAACAGCTCTGTGACAGAGCTACGCATACCCTGAAAGCTGCAAGGCCGACTAGACATACTCTTCCCTTTGGACACCACCCTTCCGCCCTCCCCTTTCAGTCTAATTTATAGTTTTTATAGTCTTTAACTCCAAGGCTGAAAGGGCAAGTCCCCTTTCTCCTTACCTCTTCCTCCCTCCCCACAAATTCTGACATTTCCTAAAGATCTGTTCCAGCTTGCTCCTCATCCTGACCAGCAGCATGAACACACCAGGACTGGAAGGCACACACAGTTTGGAAAATAGTGTCCTACAAAAGGCAATAAAAACTGCTTCTTGGCAGTCTGCTGAACTGCCTTCCCTATCAGGCCAGCCTTGTCTTGCTGCAACCAACAAGGCTGAAAGGGTGGTATCAGCTACAGAAGAGGGTTTCAGACACAGTTCAATCATTACAACAAATGCCTATTTATCTAACAAGCCTCTCCAGGTAGCAGGCAAAAAGCACCTTGCCTCCTAATTAAATTGCACCTCCATTGCAAATACTCCTTTCCCAGAAACCCCCTTACACACATTTTATTTACACCATTCATCTCAATAAGCCTCTCCAACAACTCCACTGTCCTACACAGAGGTCTTTTGTGCGCATCTATGTGGGTGTATTATTTAAAGGGTACATCAAATGGATAGTTTATCTTTTTTAATCTGATTTAATCTCATCAGATTTACTAAAGTAAAATATATTTATAGACCCATATAGATGCCTCTCCCCATCTCCATAAATAAATATTCAAAAGAACAGATCTGAAACATGATATTCAAGTTCCCATCATTTCTACGTTAAATGCCACATGATACCAACATTCACAACACTGAACACTTCAGTAAAGCTTAAAGCTATGGTGAGAGACTAACATTTAGGACAAACCAAAGTGGAGGGGGGTAGAAGGACTAGTTTCTAATCCTGCTTTATTTATCCTTGCAAATAAAACAGTATCAATCTGGCTCTGCTTGAGCCATCAATAACAGCAATCTTGCATGCAAGCAAAGAGCACTGGCTGCACAAGGCATGAAATTAGTCCAGAGCAGTGGACTGAAGGCAGGATTGGGGAAGACAATATGAAAACTATTAGTCACTGTAGAAGTTGCAGTGTGCTGGTTCCATGAGACACTGCTCTGGGCTGCACTCACCCACAGTTGCTTGTTAAGGCTTCTGATGGTCTCGGTAGTTTGAATAGGTAAGGGAGGGAAGAGGAGGGGAAAGAAGGGACTAGGTTTCTCCTTTGTGTAGTTAAATAGGAGAATAGATAGAAATAGTGTACCATTTTGGCTTAAAAGGATGCTTTCCTCTTAGTGCATGTCTATATCTGTGCTTTCTTTTGTATACAGCTTCTCCAATATCTTTCTGAGAGAAAAAGACAAAAACATTAGTAAGTTATTCTGAAGATCTAATTTAGCAGCAACTCTATCAAATGCAAGATCACTGAAGTGGATGAAAAAACACAACAGGCAACCTTCTAAAGCACATTTAAGCAAAATGAAGTTTAAGCTCTGTTCCCCTGGCTGCTATGCTGAGCAGAGAGACCATTCTACAGCAAGTGACAGCTACTCACCAGCGAGTACACTAAAACACAGTAACAGAAGTTCAGCTAGAAACAGATTACCTGTTTTAAAGGATTGAATAACCTGCCCTGACCAGGCTTCTTTACCACAAACTCATTCTACTTCTCATCTTTCCAGCCTTCAGAGGGTACTAAAATTTTCCTGTGGACATGCAGACTGGGAGAAAATCCATATACTGGGAGGAAGAAGCAATAAAACAAGAAGCCAAACACCCTCTATTTAAAATGGTTATTTTACAAAACGGACCCAAAAACCAACTAACATCCCAGTCCTCAAGGAGAAAGGAGGAATTGTTTCCATTAAAGAAATACATGATTAAAAAGTGACCTACAAAGACTTACCCATAGTCAGTGAGACTGAACTGATCTTTGCCAGAGCTCACACAAGAGACTGGCTGCGTGCTGTTAGAAAAGGGGGAGCGGGGGGGCTGGATTCTCTCACTGGGGTCTCTCTTTAGAGCTCAGAGAGCTTGGCTCGTTAGAGGCAGAGGCATGCCTTCCAGAAGGACTTTACAGCAGCGCACAACTGAGTTGTAAGCCAAGATAAAGCCGGCTTGTTATAAGAGGCAAGTCTTGTGGGTTGCTTTTATTTATTTTTTCCCAGTGTATTGGAAATGCAGATCTTGTAAAGCAAGAATCAAGACAGGGCTGGCAGAGGGAAGGGGGGGCTGTGCGGCTGGATAAAGTGAATCCCGGTTGTTCTCTCCACCCAGGGCTTGTGCTCAGCGGGGACAGGGTGCCGTCCCCAGCCTCTGCTGCCCCTGAGGGGCAGTGGGAGCCAACCTCTCATGGCGGGGGGAGGGGGACGACCTTCAAGATTGCTATTTGCCACCCTGCCTGCAAGCAAGGAGAGGAAATAAACACCATTGTAATAATAATAACGATGATGATGATGATAACAAAAAAGCCAAGCAGCTCAACACCAGCTCTGGCACGGACCAGCACCACCAACACACACTCACGATCTGAAGAAGAAAATGGCTAGCAAAGTTCAACAGGGTGCAAAAGCAGCCTCAGCCCTCCCACCCCGGGAGGGAAGGGAGCCCAGCGGAGGTCGCCGTGAGGCGGACGGAGCCGAGCCAGCCCCGCCGAGCCGGCAGACCCTGGCAACTCGGCGAGCGGGCTGCCCCGGCACCAGGCCCCGGCGAGGCAGCGGCGGCCGCCCTTCGCTGTGCTTCCCCGTGCGGTGCTCTGGCAAGGAAGAAAGCCCACAAGGGCTGCGCAGGGAGGGGATACCCAGGCTCCCCCTGCCCCAAAGAAACTGCATCTCGGAGTGCTCCCAGCGCCGCGCCGCCGCGTTTCGCACGGCATCAGCGAGGCGTCCCCAGGGGACAGGGCCGGGCCCGGGGGTCGTTCCCGCCCGCGGCAGCTCTCTCATGCCCGGCTCCCATCACGACACCTCGGCGGGCTCCTACACCGGCGGTGCCAGGGGTTACAGAGAGAAATTATGAAGTAGCTACAGGCGCTGGAAGCCCTATTGCTGCATAAATCTCTCCGCTCGGGCTGCGACGAGCTTCGCCAGCATCATTTACTTTCTCCTGCAGGTGCTTTTTAACTTTGATCCCACCGCCGTTGTCTGCGCCCTCACCTCCCCAAACAGCGACCGCGACAACCTCTCTTACCGTAAACCCCTTGTCCCCTGCTGTATACCGGCACCAGAGACAGGAATAAAACCCAGATCATCTCCATCTTCAAGGCAGAGCCTTCATCGCCGGCGAAGAAAAGCAGCCAAAACAGCCCAGGCAGCATCCGGCGGGGGAGCGAGAAGCAGACGAAAGCCTCCCGGAACGCCGCCCCATGCGCCCGGCTTCGCGCCGGGCAGCGGCGCCCCTCGGGCAGAGGGAGGGACGGGGAGGAACCCCCGAACTCCCCCACCGGGGCCGCCTGAGGATGGAATTAAAAAAAAAAAAAAAAAAAGGAAGGAAAATAAAAATAAAAAAAAAAAAGGAAGGAGGGAACGAGGCAGAGAGGAGAGGAGGGCAGGAAAGCGGGGCGCTGCTTCCCGCTTCCCCTCGCCAGGTTCTCGAGGGTCTCCAGGAAAACGGGCAGCCGCGCCCGCCCGCAGGGGGCTCGGAGAAGCCAGCCCGGGGCACCGGGCAGGAGCGGGACCCGGCAGCCTCCGGCCCCTGAGGGAAAAGGGGGTTCTTTGTTCCGTGGGATCTGCCGAGCGCTGCCCCAAGTGCTGCCAACTGGGGCCAACTTGGGAGAGTCTTTAGCCTTCCTCCTCCTCCAAGGCTCTGTCCGCAGCCCCAGGAGCAAACGGGGAGAGGGAGGTGGAGAAAAAGGGGGGAAGGAAGGGTGGGGGTAGGAGCCAGTTCCTGAAAGGCGGAGGGAGAGGTAAGTGATGCTCTCTCCTATTTTCCTGATCTTCTAGGGAGGGGATTGTTGTAATTAATCAAATCCAGGAAGGATTTTTTTTTTTCTTTTAGAGCGGCTCCCAAGAGCTTCCCCAGATGCACTGCATCGCCCCAGCCAGCCTGAAGGGAGAAGCAAGAGGGGAGCAGCCAGAGCACGCACCCTCGCCCCGCCTGCTTCTCAGCCAGGCTTTCTTCGCCTCCACCCCAGCCTGACAGATCCTTCTCCCTTCAAAACTTTCTCTTATGTGGTGTGCCGGCTTCGGGTGGGTGCTTTGCCTCCGCTGCTTGCTTGCTTGCTTCTCCCGCCTCGCAGGCGATTTGCGGCTCTGGAGGGGTCCGCGTCGCACTCCCTCTACGCGGCTGCCGGAGCTCCCGGTGGGAACTAACAGGGGCTGCAGCTGGGAGGAGTCTCCGAGGAGGGCCACGAAGCTGCAGAAAGTTAGGTTACTCCTGCCAGATGCCAGCTGGAAACCGCTTGGCAGGTCCCTGCCCCACCGCTTCTTCCCGAAGCGCCAAAATCTTCTGCAAAAGTTGCCGGGAGCGTCACCGCTCCCCGACCATCCCTGGGGCGCTCTGTTCCGCCGGTCCCCGACGGGGCGGCCGGGAGGCACCGCACGGCTCCCCTATGGCCCCACCGGCCAGGCTTGCCCGTGGCAACCTCACCCTCCCTGCCTGTCGTTCTGCCGGCCGCACCGTGATTTCCTCCCCTTTGGCTTTCCAGGTTTTCTCCTCCCCTCTTCACCGTTTCATTCCTCTTCAGTTAAAAAAAAATAAAAGGGAGCCAATTAAAGCAGCCGTGCTCTGCAAAGCCCTGCCTCCTGCCCAGTTCTGCGAGCCTCCCCTCTCCCCGGCCCAGCTAGAGACAGCACCGCCGGGCTGGGGAGAAAAAGGGACTTGCTTCGGGCGGAGAGATCAGCCGTCAGCCCGGGGTCCCTCCATCCTCAGGACACTCGCGGCAAGGTCGGCTTCTCTCGGGTGGGATTTGAGATGTGGAAAGCCCAGGGGCGGCGGGGACCGGGGGCACGTCTTGGCGCTTGTACAGGCAGCGAGTCGGAGAGGGGGGGAAAGGAGCGCAGATTGCCGGAGGGGGTGGGGGGGTATCTCCAGTGCCGGCGATGGCTGCTACCAGCAAAGTTTTTTGGCCTCTCCCCCAGTAGGTTGCAGGTTGGTGGGGCTGCCTTGTGAATGCTGCTCGGGAGCGGCGGATCGGGGGGCTAAGTGCGGCGGGGGTGCTGTGCGGGACCCCAGCCCGGTGCATGGCTGCGGGAATCGGCGGTACTGTGGGGCTGTGCTAATGCTCGTCCATAAAATCCGGAGCGGGGAAGCTGCTCTTTCCTTTCCCCCCCCTTACACCCCCCTAACCCTAACCCTAAGCCTAACCCCCCCCGCTGCGCAGGGGCCGGGAGGAGACCTCCGTCCGGAGACCTCCGTCCGGGAGGAGGTCTGCTGCAGGAGATGCTGCCCGACCGCCCCGGTCATCCCGGTCATCACCACCAGCACCCGGAGCGACGATGCGGAGCCCTGCTTCGCCATCCTTACCTCCATCTGCTTTGCTGGGGGTTAGGTAAAATGGCTCTTCAACTACGCGTGGGCTCGGCGGTCCCACGCCGCTCACTGTGCTGCTCCTTTGCGCGGTGCCCCGCGGCACTGGGGCTACCGGCGGGAGCTCCACCAGGAGGGAAAGCGGACGGGAAAGAAGCACTGGGTCGCCATGTGAACAAGCCACTCTCTGGATAAAAATGTAATTAAAAACTTAACAATAACAATATTGAACAATATAAGATATTGAAAGATGTAATAATCTATAATATTGAAAGCAACCAGCCAGGGAGGGGCTGGTTGCTGAGTCATGTTCTGAAAACCAAACAATTAATAGATACAGCCGCTAACTAGTAAGCTGTTATTCCTACTGTAAGCGGTGCTCAGCGGGAGAGGAAAGCAATAACATGCACCAGGACAACGGCTTTAGGGACACAGCAGCTTTCCCCAGTGACCAGCATCTCCTCATGTGGGAGGCAGGGCAGACAGGTCTCACACTGGACCCTATTCCCTCAGTTCTCACGATGTCGCCGGTATAGAACTGCTTTGTTAGATTGTTTGGGTTTTATTCCATTTATATTTTACCCCCCCCCCCCCCCAAGCTAAAAGAATATTTGCCAAGAAACTGTGGCACTCTGAGGTGTCCTTTCCCAAGATGATAGCATGCAGCAGGGCACTTTATGAAAGCATCTGATGTGAGCAAGTTTATTTTTAATACAACAAATCTTCACCTGAGAAGGATTTAATCCTTCCTACAGTGGTGGTCGCAACATTAATAAAGGGCGTAGAGGTAGAAGGAGGTGGCCAGCACTGGGAGGACAAGCAGGGCAGCCTCATTACTAGGGTGTGCGGAGAAGCAGAAGCTGCTGCTGAGAAAAATTATAATTGTCCACATCTGCATGGAGCAAGCCAAAAGCAACACAAGGAAAGGAGGTGAAGAGATGTGTGCAGATCCAGGAAACGTCAAAGGGATGAAAAAAAAAAAAAGCATGGAGATATGAATCCTGTCTTTTCTACTCATAATTTTGAAATAATGATATTTATAGGACATTTTGTAGCCTTGCCTTTTTTGTTTGTTTGTTTTTGTTTTTTTCCCAGGGATTCTCATTCGATTGCGGAATAGTGCCTCAAAGTTTGAATGAATTATGTGTTACATATCTGAATAACGAGTCTAAAAATGATCCCCAAAATATGCACTTTACACCCCTTTTTGTGTTAACATTCAATGCACAGGCTCACATGTTTCACTGGCACAAATGCTTATGAAAAATGAATTTCAAAGTAAACTGTCCAAGTATGCTCTGAGTGGAAAAAAATACTGCCAAAACACAAGTACGTAACTGCATTTGCTAAATAAGGTAATTAATTATTGCTTGAGGCCTAATAAATCTTAACATTCATAACTGTGGTGTTTCCGATGGGTGACAGCAAGCCAGCACTCCTGTGTACCCTTGCTAAGCAAGTAGATACTTGTCATAAGGAAACCATACTCTGTAGCGATTCCGCTTGTCAAAAAACAAAGATGAAGCATGTTTTTCCTCCCCTAGTCTGTTTCCACAGAATGTATTTGTCCCATCTTTCCAGCTGGGAATCACTGTCTCTGGTTGCTTCTCAAGACCCCACTTGTCCAATGAGTCCTGTCTCTTTGAAATATTTATACATACTACGTCACCTATATTTCACAGCTATGTTAAGAGGTAGACAGTTGCTGGGACGGATGTTCTGTTCAACGAGAGCAAATCATATATAGCACAATGTCACCAGGCAAGAGACGATTGAAGAGCTGTGGGAGGCCAAGGTCCAGTTGCAAGAACATTAATTCTCTCTGTGTAGATATTTTCATGCTATAGTTTGGTGTAGTCTGTCATTTATTTCTTTCCTGGGATGATGCAGCTATCTCTGGGCCCCAGTGATCTCTTGAGCTTGTGGCTTGACATTTCTGTCACCTCATTCCTGTTCATTTTCCTCTCAGCACCACATCCAAGAATGTTCCTGGGATCCCTGAAGTTCAATCTCTTCCTCCCTTCCCTCCCTACGCACACATAAGGAAGTGGAAGCTTTCCAGCAGCATTTCCCTTCCTATAGCTTAGTAAAAGGGAGTAGAAATAGAAAGTGAGGAGGGAAAAGGAACACGATGGGGAACCTCAAAGGCAATGGGCAAGCAAGGGTGACTCCAAATGCTGCAAGAGAGGTAAGAGTTCAGAAGGGGAAAGCCCGAGGACTCTAGCGCTGCAGCAGAGATGTTAGCAGGGAGATGGGAAAACAAGGAAACTCTAGCTGCAGTTCTGTATTGAGGAGCTGAGCATGCAGGGTGCCTCCTTCGATGCTGTTGGGACAGGCTGAGCTGGGACAGGCTCTGCAACAGAACAGCATAGGGACATGTGTCCAGCCTAAGGCAGTGAGGTAGGGCAGCAAGAGAGCCAGAGAGAGAACTGGGAAAGGCAAGGGAGAGCAGGGAGTGTGGGGAGGGAGAGCCCTGTCTCACTGCTATAAGCAAGATAGGAAAGAGTGGGTGAAGCTACAGTGACAGGATTCAGTTAAACTGTCATGATGAAGTGCTGGAATCAGTACCTCTTTGAGGAAAAAATCCTAGCCTAGAGTGCTTCTCACCATCTCTAATACTAGACCAGTGCTACTACTGCCCCAAATCCTCTTGGGTATCTCCTGCTTGCAATATGAAGCATGCCAAGATAGGGCTATAAATCCCAAAGGCTCTGCTTTGCTGTCCTCAGTTCTCCTCATCTCCACTCTAGGGAATACACCTATGCTGTGCTTGATTTCTTCCCAGATGCATTTTACAGCACTAGTAGTACCTGTGAGCCTCTTGTGTATTCTCTGCTTTTTTGATTAGCTCTCCTCACCATAGAGAGTGTTTGGTACTGAAAGGAATGATGAAGGAGTCCATCTCTAGTTTTCACCCAAGGTACTCATCCTGTCTCAGCTTTACCACCCTTCGTCCCTGCACTTCCCAGCCAGTTTCAGTGCCATGCTGGGGTTTCTGGCAGCTGGTTGCTATTGTATGGGGTTTTGTTATTCCTGCCTTTACCCAATTATACTTTGAAAGACATCTGTTTACTGGTTAAGGCTTATGGGAAAACCATTGCAATCCCTCACCCCTGTGATCTCAACATGTGGCCACTTGTCTTTCCTCAGCTCGAGTGTTCATACATACACACACAACATCCCACCTCTTGTGCACTAAGTCTACAGGCTTCTAACTCAACATTTTCTACCAGTCCGCATGCTTTTTAGCTTATCTATCTAGTTTGCCAGAGATCCTGCTGTTACTTTGCTTTAGGACAGATTGGGGCTGATATAGGGGCACAGACAAGTGTCTCAGCATCACTGGGAGCATCTTTTTCCTCTTTCACCCTTTCTTTGATCTTTTTTTTCCTCTCTGCCTCCTTCTCCTCCTGCATTCATGCTTTCTTCTGCTTTCCCACCCTCCCTTTCATGTGTAAAAAGTGAGTTAAAAAAAACCGACAAGCTGGTGCTGGTCAAAGGAACTTGTTCTCCCTTTCTTCCACTTCCTTTCATTGCTGTAGCCCCCCTCTCTGAGCACGTCTCCCAGAGTGCACTGGAGAGGGATGATTTTTCACAGAGATCAGGTACAAATGGTTTGGGCATAATTCTTCCCTGTTCTTGCTCTTTGCCACTGCCAGAAAGGGTGCATTGACTGTGGATTTTGTCAGTGTCAGGCAGATGATCTGAAATGTGTGATCTCTGCCCTGCGGTGGAGGTGGCCGTGCTGGGGAGGGGAAAGGTGCTACTCTTGAAGCAGATACTTTCAGCCACAGGGCTGTGTTTGAAGCAGTTGCCAGTACTCCCAGGAGGCTGGGCTACTTGTATTTCCCTTGAGAGTTTTTAAACATAGCTCACAGCATGGGAATGATTGATTGACATGAGTCGAAAGTAAAATCTACATAGGACAACTCTCAGATGGGGCCTTGCTGTTCAGACCTTGGTGGAGACATCCACAGAGCACATCTCACCTAGCCTGACATGAGGAGGAAGCAGCCCTGCAGAGCCACTTTTGTGGGAGCACCCAGGTAAAGCTGTGGGCGTGTATGCCTCAGGACCTCTTGTTGGTGAGAAAACCTCCAGCTGGTAACTCCTCACTTCAGTTGCCCAGTGCCCACACCTGGTTTTGGGAAGACGACTTATTATCAACACATTGACTTAAAATTACACACAAGAAATTCCTTAGTCCCTGTTGTCTCCAGATGGAGCCACCCTCACTTCAGAAAGGTGAACAACTGTGTTTTGGATGTAAAAAGGAAGCTGCAGAGAAAACTGTTTTTCTGCCATACTCTCCCCTTGCTACTGATCCTGACCACAAGAGCTGGGAGAGATGGTTACAGAAAGATTCATCAGTGTGCTAGGCAGGCTGCAGAAGAGCACGCAATTCAATGCCTGAAGCAGCCCCACCACTCTCCAGGGAACCGTACACTGCTCGTCAGTGGTGCAGCTCTCCACCAGCCTCTTGTTGTACCATGACAATGAAAAACTTAGAAATTCAAAGCTATCAGAACCCTATGTGCACTGCCATTGTCCAAACAGCTTGGGCATTCAGAACTTTACTGGTATGGGCTTGTTTTGCCCAAGAGAATGAGCATGCAGTCCTGGCTCACCTGGTCATCGACAGCTGTTTTGGCTGGAGAGATCTGAATCAGCCCAGTTCAGTGGAGACTTCCTCCTGCTCTCTTTTCAGCAGCTCTCCAACGGATCGCTGTTTCCTTTCACTACCATAAATCCTCTCTTCCCTTCCCCCCAGACTCCTCCCAGAAGCATTATAAATAGCACAGCTTCAACCTGAGTTTTAGAAATCCTGGGGCTAGAACTCCTGTTGGAAGTACAGTGGCCCCAGTGTACTGATATCCTCCAGAGCTACTCAAAACTGGATGTGGGCACTTGTGGTTTAGTTCAAAGTAACTTTTACGGCCTATTTCACTTCACACCTTACTCTGCTTGTACCTACAGCCTGGGTGGCAGGTAAATCCATCAGAGGGTTTCCAGGCTTCAGGAGAGAAGGCAAGGAGCTGCTGCTCATTGGGAAATGGATGCTCTAGTGCTGCTGAACTTCCTTGCTTTGAGCCTGTAAGCTGGTCAGGTCTGAAGGGATAGAGTGCTGCAGGTCTTACCTCCACAAGGAAGAACTCTCTCAGTTCATCTTCTAGGGGCCTGGGTCTCTCAGCCCCCATTTATGTTCCCCGGCACTACTTGCATATACACTATTTCATCTCAGTGTTTTGACCTTGCATGGCTGTAAGGAAACTTAGATGTTCAAATTTCAAGTGTGAAGAGAAATGTGGAATGTAAAAAAACCAAGGACAGTTGGCCTCCCTAACTTAATCCAAAAGCCACTGTCTTCTCATGACCCAAGTACAGGTAGCAAAACTAGCCCACAAGGCTTGGCTCCTCAAGTGAGTTTGAGAATGAAGCCTGTACAATTAACTTGTGTAAAAGTAGTTTCCTTATTGGATGTTATGCATAGTCTATGAGCTACACCTACAAGTTACTTTTGCCTCTTCATTTGCAGGTGTTTTTGGCCACTGCTGGAACACTCGACTCAAGAATCCGGTGATTTTTGTCTTTGTGTGAACCTGTGTGTAAACACACACACACAGATCCTCTCCCCTCCTGTCCAGTGACACTACAGTTACATTTTTAACAAACCATCTGTTCAAGCCAAAGCATCTGAGCAATTCTTCACACAAATCTAGATGTGCAAAGAAGAGAAAACATCTGGAATTGTGCCTGCTGAATGGATGCTCTAAAACACTGCTGCCCACAAGGGTTACTGCACCCTCCTTATCTTTGGGGTGGATCCAAAACAAGTTTCCTTGTTTCCTCTGTGCTTAAATATACTCACATCCTGAAGATACAGTGGCATCCTTGTCTTTCCCTTGATGTATTTTAGAAAACCCATGGTGAAATACTCTGTTTAAACTTACCATGACTATTTATAACACAATTCTCTAGCAGACCAGAGTTAGAAGGGCCATTATTGTAAAACTAAGTAATCTGAGATGGCACATACAAGGAATCAACAGAAAAGCCCTGTTGGGAGGAAATTATGGAAACATAAACCGCATTTACAAACGTGTTTTTTGGTTGAGCTGCTGTAACCATTTTAGAAAAGCTGGGGATGGGGCTGCCTAGGGACATGATCCAGGTGCGCAGGTGCTGTGCAGCACTGAAGTACTGCTGGCGGAGAGGCACAGTTCACCATCAGAGCTGTTCTTGCCAGGGTTACCACTGCTCCCAAGCAAAGCAACAAACAAATGTGCACTCACAGATGGGTTTTGCTGGCACAGCTGTCTCAGTCGTGAATTGCACCTCTGATCAAAATTGAGAATCCTTGGGTGAGGAGATGGGGATGAAACACAAAGTCGAGGTGTGACTCACACAAAGTCGAGGTGTGACTCACACAAAGTCGGACAGGGAGGCAGGGACACGAGCAGAGCTGGAACAGTACTTTCTTCCCTCATTTCTCAGAGCTGCTGCAGACAGACGGCGTTGCCACTGAACTGTATATTTCAGTGTATAATTACTCGCTTATTAGCTGGCTACCTCATCATGCCAAGAAAGTTAGTGGGAATGTAGAGCAAAGACATTTCTCCTCTCCCTGTCTTTCAGAGCAGAGGAAAAACAACAGATCATACAACCTGCTGGGAATCTCCACCTCCTCCACTCTTTTTAGGCTGGCAGAGGATGAATTTTGATTGATTTCTCAGTTACATCTAGTATGCAGAAGAAAAAGAAAAAGAGCTAATCATGCTAGCCTGATACTAGAGACAGGGAATCTGATGGCCATGGCTATTATTGCTTCCAGAGTGATGTGCTGGGCACATGTGCCTGGTGGGTGACCTCACACTGAGCCATGACGATATTGGGAGCTACCAGCTCTACCACACACCACTGCTCAGTACCTCATAGAGGCGAAGGAATATAACACAGGGTGTCAACCTGACATAAAGCAAATTACAGGGCCACTGGAGTCAAGGTAAGGCTTGGCTTGCCTACCTTGGAGGTGGCACTTTTTAAAGCTTGAAAACATAATGGGTTTCTGGAGAAGTTTCTCCATGCAGCTTCCCAGGTGGCCACGTTTTCATGAAGGCTGAAGTGATTCTTCTTGCCAACTCAGCCCCTGCATTCAAACTTCCCCAGGAAAACCAGATGAGTTTTTTGAATAGCAGCAGACTTCCTTATTAGCAAAGTCAAGCAGGAAAATTAGTGAAAATAGTATAATTTTTATACAGACCAAATCATTCCTAGGTAACAGAGACAGAAAGAAATACTGCTGGTTCGACCCCCTGTTCTAATCAGAGCACATTGTAAGGAACAACCTTCAACCTTGATTTCTGAGAAGCCAATAATAAACCATTCATTTGTATTTCACGCAGAGCAGTGCCATATTCCATCAGGATGCACAAACCAGTATTCTGAAGGAACAATACGCATTTGGGATTGGATTTGCAGCTGTTCAGTAGCCTTCAGATTTGCAGGTAAACTATAGTATCTGACTTGCTGGAAGGTTTCATGGCATGTGATGCTGGCACTGAAGAATAAATGCCTCTGTTTTTCCCCCCTCTGATTTTTCCTGGTCTCTGGCATCAGGACTGAGAAAGACAGGAGCCATGTCTCCACCCAGCTTCAGGAGGGACTGGGGGAACCAACAAGATCCAAGAGATAGGGAGAAGCCGGTGGGAAGCCAGGTCAGGACTGACTCAGGAATTAGGATGGGTAGGCAGAGAAAGGATCGGGTGGGAAATGGCCAGTAGAGGGGGTGAAAGAGGGACTCTGGGTCGTCTTGAAGTATGGAACGAGAAGCCAGGAATGCTGGCAAGATGGTGTGGGGGCAAGTGAACAACCAAAACTTGGCGAAAGTCAGCATGTAAGGTGGCACTGCGGCAGCATCACTGGGGCAGGGGCTAATAGTCCCAGGCTGTGCTGGAATGTGGTTCTGGGCCATGGGCAGGGTGGGGGCAGGTTCGGGAGGGGAGTCTGGGCAGGGTCCCCAGTTTCTGGCAGCTCTGCCCCTTCTTTCTGCCCATTCAGCTCTTACTTTTCTCCATCCCCAGCTTTTGGCAACCCCTCACATGCTTTGAACCCTGCTAGAATTCCCTTAAGGGAGCTGGAGGGGTTGGAGGAGCTGATCAAAAGGTAAAGAAGAGGGTGAAATATACCTCCCTCTGCCTAAGGAGCTGCCCTGGGCATACCTGGTCTTGGGTGTAACCACCTCAGTTGGCAGGGGGTGAGCTCATCCCTGCTCCAAACATCTTGTTTGGGTGCAGGAGAAGCATCACCTGTGTGAGGTGTGTTGTGTTAAGCACTATTCTTCCTTCACCATGTCTGGAAAAAGTACCTCTGAGCCCCTGAAAACAGCAGACATTTTGGTGGAAGATAGATAAGAAAGAATATTTTGCAGGAACCAAGAGATGTCTGTCTCTGTCAAATGAGCATTGGCCAATCAAAACATTACCAATAGAGATTTCTCATATTAGCACCTTTTTTTTTTTTTCCTTGCTTGTCTTGGTAGAATCACATTTCATTTTCAAACCGCAGCTCTACATTTATCATCCCTGATTTAGTAAATTGCCTCTTGGAGAAGCAGTGTCTAACCTACCTTTATTTAAGACTTTGCAGGATAATGTGTCTGTTGGACTCAGAGAGGCTCACAAAAAAAGTGGCAGATGCAGCAAATGTATCGAAATGGAGATAATGCAAATGATTTTACATTCAAAATATTCTTCCTCTAGTAACTTAGCACTTTCAGAAAATACTGTATTGTCAGTAAGACTTAAATCTAAAACCTTGAAGCAAGAGGAATTTTATTGTCTTTCTCCTTCTTTATTTTTCTCTTAACAGGGATCAAAATCAACCTTTCAATAAGCCTCTTTTTGTAGTCAAAATAGAAGGAGGTGAAGATACCTCTATAATAAAAGTTGGCTCAAGGCTTATCAGCAGGGTAGGTAAAATTTAATTTTGCAGCACAAGGATTTTCTCTTCACCCTTGGGCAGGCAAAATTCAACTGTGTGGCAGCAGCAGAGTGAGTCCCTCCTGAGACGTGTTTCTCCTTTTCTACCCCATTGATACCTCACAGCTTGTAGGGGGAAAGGTTGGACAGTCAGCTGCTGCCTACTGCAGCTACACCATCCCCATCTCTTCCAGCCCAGGCAAACTAGGTTGCTGGCTGCCCTGGCAGGCTCCCACCTTTGCCTGTGTGTGAAAACAGCCCTGTCTGTAATAAGGTAGAAAAACTCGTATCTGCAAAGCCGAGCCTGGAATCATTATCTTACAGCTGCAAACACAGCCTCCCACTTAAATGAAAGGATGCAGATAATTGAGTTATCTTGTATAAAACGAATTCTTCTGCCCTATAAACTGTACCCAGTACACATGATGCAATCTCACTGTACCAGGCTGGAGAGAGGCGTGTTGGGAATGGAGGTGGCTTACTCACCCCAAGCAGGAGCAGACTTCTCACGTGCCATCAGCGCACACAGCTAAACTTCAGAGGATGGTGGCATTCACATATATGCCCCTTCCCATTTCAGCTCCACAGGAATACCGTCAAGCTGATGATTTCCACTGAAATCAATAGGAAAAGTAGAGGGCATCAGCAAAATCATTAATAATTCCTCTCAATTATAATCTAGTTTCTTCAAATACAGCTGTTGCTGGAGCCTTCAGCCACAATTAATGAAATGGAAAATCTGAAGGACAATAAACAGTATATTTGTGAGCTAGAGGGATGTGAACAAACAGTAAACAAACAGAAAAATGTCAAAGGGGTTAAATCTTTAATAAACTACTGCGCCAACATAATTTGATGAGCTCTCCTTCAGCTGTTTCACAAATACTTTTCCTTGCTTTCAGAGTCGTCTGGTCTTTTTCAAGCCAAACACATTTCACAAGACAAATTTGTAGAGGAACCAAAATGGGCCTTTAAAACAGAAATAGATTGCAACCTTGTTATTACGTTTTAAAAGCAATGGTACGAATGCAAGATTACATATTCATCCTAGTTGTGATTCTTCATTCCTCATAGGTACACAGATCCTGTGTTTGGCATGGAGCTCATTGATACTCAGTAATTTCTGCTGTTTATAAAGTGAATCAAGCAGGTGCATTCTGCAATTGTAAATTCTAAGGGTTATAACATACACACCCACCCACCCACATAAGCACAGTGAGGTTAATACCAATCTAAAAATATTTTGTATGGCAGAAAGAACAGAAAAACATTATCAGCAGAGTTGTTGGAAGAGGGGGTTGTAGGGCTGGCCACATGAGTTCAGAAATTACTCTGTGTTCACCTGTCCAGCCTGGTTAAGCACTGTACCTCTCTGAAGGTACTTTATCAAGTGTTTTGGGATGACAAAGGCCACAGTCCCTGTATGTCTTAAAGTAGCCAGCAATGCAGATGAAAACATCACATTTATGAAGCCAAGGGAGGAAAGGATAAGTTTTCTTAGGCCTGATTTCATGTCACAGGTACATTTTTGTTATTTTTGGATTTACCAAGAGTGACTCAAAATACAGAATTCCAATCCCCCAAGACACAGAGACAATCAATCACCGACGAAGGGGAAATGCTGAATTCCTAGTACCTACCCTTCTCTAAGAAAGCCTGTCGGCTGTGTAATGCAAACTAATCTGTTCTGAGCATCAGCTTTCTTGTTTCTTGCCCTGGTTCACATATATACAACATCCATTGGGAGAGGGAGAGAGAGAGACAGAGAAAAAGAAGGGGGAGGCACAAGGCAGGGAGGCATAGAAAGAGAGGCCACATCCACACATATCAATGACTCTAGGAAGAAAACAGCTAATACATGGAGCTGGACTTGGAGAAAGGTGGACTGCTCTGCAATTTTCTTGGTGAACTGCAGCTGAGATTGGTTCAGAACTATCAGAAATAAGATGCTGCATGAAAGACAAAAAAATCAGGGCATGTTTTTAACTGTTGGGGAGGGGGGGTATTGGCTGGGGGAAGCAGATGGCAGTGACTTACGAGAACAGGGCACTGCTGTTGTAGCCGCTGCTGCAACTGTCACAGCTCAGCTCTTTTCTGTCTGACAGAAGGGCCTCTGGGCAGCCACAGATGAGTCAGACTCATGCGTGTTGTACAGGCATCTCTGGAGAACCCCAGTTCTTCCCTTTCATTTTTGTCACAACACTTAAGGATTTGAAATGAGTCGTGCAACCCCTACATCCTATGAGCAGCCTTTTCCCTCTCACTGCATCTTTCCCAGTGCCTGAGCTGCGGCCAGCCCTGATGAGCCCAGCGTGGCTGGGTGGCATCATACAGGAGGGATCCCTACAGTCTCCAAGCAAGAGTATCATTAGCATTCTCTTGAGTGTTGCAGCAAGGAGGCTGAGGAGCAGCAGCTACTGGAGACACACATTGAAGCCACCTCATTTGCATTCCTTAGGAAGACCTGCTGGCTTTGGCAAACCCACTTGAACTTATAGGTTACCCATTAGCACTCCTGAATAGCCCCCATTTGCTCTGAGAGACACCACTGCCCCTGACCAACACTGCCTCAACCCCAACAGAGAGTAGAAGCAGTAGGACAGTTTTGAGCTTGAGACTGGCCAAAGCACATATCCAGTGTATCCCACCACACAAGAAACTCCTGGCTGTTTGGAAAAGAGAAACTGTGTCAGCAGTGGCACCCTGGGTTGCTCTTTTTTTCACAAGACTGATCTGTTGGTTTGAAGCTGGTGCGCAGTTTCCTACCCTCAAAAGACTATTTTAAAGCTCTACAGAGAGCAGTTGTTGAACAAGCTCTGTTAATACAGCAGAGCAGCAGCAAATCCATTTCACCTTCTTAGCTAATGGCTTCCCCTCCTGGAAAAGAGATTCCAGAGAAAAGAAACAAACACTGCTGCCTGTGCCAGAACGCCTGACCTGAGCCTGAGCACAGCGTGCTGCTGCCCCGGCATGTGGGAGGGGAAGGGGCACCTCTGGTGAACTGCTCTGCCCTCAAATACAGGACTGGAGGCTGAGGGCTGAGGGCTGTGGTTGAAGAGGTGAGCTGGTGCAGAATTATTGCTTTCTGTGCTTCGATATTTCTGGGAAAAAATAAGGCAAACTTAGCCACTGTCGTACACACATTTTATGCAAATCTCATCTTTGTCTTCTGCATACTGATACATAATTTGCATCTGATTATCAACTTTGGGTCTACTGTTTTATTCTAAACAGAGTTCTTGATGCTGAAAGGTGTTCAATTGACAGCCCTGGTGAATAAAGTGATCTCTCTAACAAGGTGATAGGAGAAGAACAGCTACCCACATCGGGCTCTGCCATTACTTGGTGATCTTAAAGGTCTTTTCCATCTTAGCTGATTCTATAATTATTCCCCAGCCAGGGTCAACAGTGAGGCCTTGGCCTCTCTGAGCCTGCCAGCTGATGCAGAGTGGGGCTGTGAATGTGGATTCCCTCTGAACTTTCTATGAAGACAACCCAAAATGCTTTAAAAAGTAACAGCTACTATGTTGGGTCAGATTCACATTTGTGCTACACCTACAACGGGGTCCAGTACCTAGGTGGCTCTGACAACACAGACAGAGATCATGAGAAAGTTTACACAGTGGTATCTTCACACCCAAAATGAAAGCCTTCACCTTCTTTATCCAGAGGAGAGCAGGCTTTTGTTTCCTCTGGCACATGCACAGATATTGCCAGCTGGATATAGCCCTGTGTGTCCAGCAGCAGTAACGTGTGAGTCCTTTTCCAGACTGCAGTGGTGTCTTGCCTTGTGTCACAAGGCAAAAACATTTGTCTGGGGTAAAAGTGGATCGAGTCTGCTGAAGTCAATGGCTTGACTCTTTACTCTGGCTGACATTTTGGCTCCGTTACACCACATTAGCATAAACTTTTTGGGAAGCCCTGTGTAGAAATCAATAATAACCAGAGATCATGGTCTTCAAGTTCTGCTACACATGGATCTTAGCAATTACCTCTCCTACCTCTGGAAAGATTCTATTACTTCATATGGAGGGGGGGCACAGGGCCCTCCCTAGTGCTAGATGAGCAGAGGGAGCTATTCACAGTAGCTACAGGATGAAACAGCAACTGATCTACCAACCTACCCTGCACCACAAGCCTACTTCAGTCAAGCGGAAGGATGAGGACAAATGGATGTTAATCCTGATCCTTAGGCTTCAGCAGTCACAACACTGAGCACGATGAGCCTGTCCACTTGACTTTGGGATGGATGGCTGTTTTAGCTGTGTTTGTCCTGTCAATAAAGGATTCAGGCCCCATAAGAGCTGTTTCTATAAGAGAGGCAGATTAAGACAAATAATGCAGACTTAGTGCTCTTTACATGGCCTGCATGGGCTGACTCTGCTGCAATATGCACACCCACAAATCTTCTCAGCTTGTTACCTCATCGAACGTGGCTGTTCCTCCGTAAGGACAGGAGCCGGGTGATACCTCAACAGATTTTGAACACTACATGCTAAGTCAGAACTGGAAATAGCCTGACTAGGAGAGCTCTGGGCCTGGCCTGGCAGGGAGGTAGACCCTGTCAGAAAAACGCAGGATGAAGCAAGACATGTGGCAGCCCTGCCGGATAGGACCCTTGGCTTTGCAGAGGAGGGGGCATAGTTTTCCTGTCATTAAGGAAGACATCTCTCATTATTTTTGCACTTACTCTTTGCTAACACCCCCGTTAGTATTTCACTTCTCTCTCCTTTGCACAGCCAGTTCCAGGTTAAGAAAGCAGGAGTATGCATTGTGTAAATGAAGTTTGTTGTTTTCCTTTGAAGTATGTGGGAAGGCTTTGAAAGCCCAACTGTAACCGTTCCTGATAATCTCAACTTTCTGCTCTATTTCTCTGGTTAACCTTGCTGGCTCGAAACAACAAAAAGCGTAGCCTGAAGGAAATGATGCTCAATGCTTTCTTAACTTTCTAATGGTATTTTACCAGAGATATTTTCTTTTTGTTAAAATCTTTGAAGTCCATTTCTCTCTTTCTGTGTGGATTCTCGTTGAGACCGAATGGCTCTTATCAGCCTGCTTCCCCAGGCACAGAGTAGGAGGCATGACTGCCTTCCTTCCCCAGGTCATAACAAGAAGACAGTCAGTAAGGGGGTGCCACTGAGATGTCAGCAGTAAGCAAGTCGACACAGGGATGTTTCAGTTTTCTTTCCAGAGGAAGGTGAGAGCGAAATGTTCTCTCACGGGTGTCCCACTTAGAGCCAAGATGTGATCTATTCGGTCACCACTCTGCCCGTCTAGTTCTCGACTGAACAAGTCTCTTTCAAATTGCTTTGCAGTCAGCTCAAGAGGTCACTCTTGACTCAAGCAAACTTTCTTCTCCTATGCACATTTGCTTCCCTCTGCCCCTATCTGCATTTTTGAGCTAATTGAACAGCCATCCCATGCCTTCAAGGCATAGATATTGCTTCTGCTGTGGCACAAATCCTAAGTGTGAAGAAGGTGATGGAGACAGACATTTGACACACTGTAATGTAATCACCACACCATATAGCAGGCTGAAAATGGGAAGGACCCATAACTGGAAGATTTCACTGCCAAGAAAGTCTGTCCCACAGGTAGAGCAATAGGGTTCATCCTGACCAAGTCAGCAGAATATACCACCCACCCACAAGAATTTAACATTGCCAACCTCTGTCTCTGTCTCAACCCTAAGGAAATTTCTAATTCTTCAGGGAAAGAAGAAGAAAAAGACATGTTCTACCTCCATAAACCCCAACCCTTCCATCATGGATGTGACAAATAAAAGGAGGGATAAATAACTGTGTAAACAGGCCCCTTGAACATAATTGAAGAACCAGACTAATTTGGCCTGTCTATAACAGGTCAGAGCTGGGCACTAGACTTACCCTCAACAGATAAAGATGAGTAACTACATAATGAGGGTAAAATATTCATTAAGCTAATTGCATGTTAATTAAGTAAATGATGCTATTAGGGATCCATTGAGCTCCATCTGTGTGTGCAAACAGGATTGAGAATAATCACACCAGAAAGCATGAGAGAAGACAGTGACAGCTCTGGGGCTCCAGGCATGCAGGGTGGAAGGGACAACCAGTGAGGGCAGCTCCACGTCTTTTGGGAGCTGTCAGCTGTGGAAAGAAGGATTGTCTCATGAGAAGAGGCAGGGCTGGCAATGAGAAACTCTAGGTACTATTGCCAGCAATCACGTTGTAAATGGGCATATCATTTCCCAGCACTCCATTTCCAGATAAACCAAACAGGAATTATAGCCATCTCCCAAGAGAGAAAATTCACGAGAAAACTCAGGGAAGGGTCTAGCCAAACTCACCTTCACTATCATATCTCTTGATTTTATCAGAATTGCTTGCAGGGGCAGAGATCCATCACCCCAGAAACCGACATAGGACTCAAGTCAATAAGCTATAAGGCACTGAAAGGTCTGGTTTTGAAAATGGCCTACAAGAAGGCTAAAAATAAGGAGACAGAAATTACTCTTCCCTTTAAACTTCTTCTGTCAGCACCATGGAGGACAGTTTCTAATAAATACTTCTTCAAAAAAGGAGAAAAAAATTCTTCTGACATAATTATGGCCAGTGCTGCATAAGGCAGAATAGGGAAAATACCTACATATTTCATGTTAAAATTCATTAATAATGGAAGGCGAGGATTAAATTACATAACTGCCAGATTTAAGTTAAATAATATTTTCAGCAGAAAGAAAAGGAGATGAGACCACTCCATAACCAACACGTTTATATCAGTACATGAATAATTTAGGCAAATAATACAACAGCTTTTTAAAGGGGAGAAGATTCGTTGAGGAGATTGGGTTAGAAAGGACTTGCACTGCATTTGGAGATTTGAAGGACTGGGAGAATAATTCATATTCAATCATTCATTTGATTAATTTCTTCTTTCTTTCAGGCCCTTAATGGGCAGATTGTTCTTTTTGCAAATGCACTTATAGTTTGAAGTTACTGGAATAAATCTGGTTCATGGTTTGCCTTGAGTGCCCGGTTTCCTTCAAGGTGTCACTGCATAAAACAGAAACAGTTTTGGAATGGGAGGTCATCTCCCTGTGGGTTTCTCATCTCAGACCAGTTCCTCAAGTACTTTTTGCTATGAATCTAAATTTAACGTCTCCTCATTCTCCTGCAGTAGTTGTTCTGCTTCCCTGAGTAGACATGCCAGACTCACCCTGCTTGTCCTGCACATAGAGGGCAAAACTGGAGTAAGCATGAATGAAGCAGATTCATTAAAAATTTCAGACCATTATTAATGAAAACTTAGTTTTTTGTGTTAGCTTGTCCCCAGTGATGCTGGCATGGATCCTAACTATCCTTCTGATGAGTGGGGAGGAGAACTGCTAAGTCATTCATAGTGAAACCTCACAGACAACACTTTATCCAGGGGCTGTTTATTGTCATGGGCAAAACATAAAAATCCATGTCGATTCTGCTCAATGCTCAGACATATGTGCTTTTCTCCACAGTCCCAGAGGCTCCCAGACACGCTCTGGCCCATGAAAGATGCCCAGGAGAATTGGCACAGCCATTCCTACAGGTCTCCAGATAAAACCAGCTACAAGAGTTAAGCAGATTTTTCCAAGCAAGGGGAGCTGCTGGTGAGAGCTCAGCCCTGGTCTTGGGATGCAGATCCCTGTGTAACAGCAGAGCTCTGGTGCCCAGAAACCATCTCTGTGATTGACTCAGCAGAAAGCCTTAATCCTGATAATTTTACAGCTCTTTGAAACCTATGCCTAATGATTTTTGTCTGGGGTCCCTGCCCATTTCCAGGTAGATAAATGTCCACATAGTGAAAACAGAAGCCTTGTTTGTCACTGGGTTGCCTGCCAAGCTAGAGATCTCAGCAGGCAGCCTCAGAGCTCGGTTCAGTCTCCACATCTAGAGAAGATTGTTTTGCAGCAAAAGGGACAGACAGCAAAGCAAACACTAACACACATTGCCTCTGTTCTGTTTTGTAGAAGGAACAGGCAAAGAACATCTGTCTCCAATGATGCTAATTAATTCTGCACCTTATTATCTTTATTGAAAGAAACATCAGAAATAATAAAAACTTATGAAAATATTTGCTGTAGGTTTGAGATGCAAGTGAAATCCAGGGAGTTCATATGTGTAT